GAGGTGGATTGATTCAGTGACTGGGATAATTGGGATGGGAGTGTCAGAGACAGTGCGATTGGCACAGGACAGAGCGGAGTTTAGGGCTGTTGTGCATAGGGTCGCTATGAGTCGCAGGCGACTCGACGGCACATAACAACAACAACAACATAACAACAGCATATATAATAATAAATAGATAATACGTAGATCAATAAATAGACTACTTAACAGAAGTTCTTGGAAACATTTCCCTATTTAATCAGTTCAGCTTTTGACTTCTGCATTCAGCAGAACAGTAACTGCAGTTCAGTCAAATCCACTGGGCAGCAGGGGGCGCTGCTTTCATAGTACAGTCTGTATGTGAAGAGGCCTCAAACTCCAAACTCCAATACAAATACACTCTCACAGCTAGCTCCATTGGGTTTCTGAGGCTCTAAGTCAGAATGAGAAGAGACTGCCTCTCTTCCTCCTGGGAGCAGCTGGTGGAGACAAACTTCATGGTCTCTTGGTAAGCAGTGCTGTAGCCCATGCACTGGACCAGCAGAGCTCCAGTGAAGGGAACCCCAGCCTGTGAAATTCCTCATCTCTAAGAGGAAAACAATTTCTATTCGCATAGTGCTAATGCTGTGTCGTGCCATGCACCAGCCGAACAACTAGACCAAAATATTTTTTGTCTCGGTGGAGTTTCTGTTTTAACAACCCTCTGTCAAGGGTGTTATTCTGGATAGGAGTAATTTTTTTTTTCTCTTTTCTTTCCTAAGGGAGTCATGTGTGGGAGGAAGAAATGTGGAGAGTACTGTGTGCTGTTTAAAGTTAATGTAACATCTATGTAGATAAAAATAAAATGAAGGAATTTCTGCATAGTGTTTTTGCTTATACATGTATTTTATAAGTACTTTCCTTGAAGTTGTTGTTGTTATGTGCTGTTGAGTCACTTGTAACTCATAGCGACCCTATGTACTTCAGCCCTAAACCCTGCTCTATCCTGTGCTTAACTCACTGTTTCTGACACACCTACTCTCATTACCCCAATCACTGAATCGATCCATTTCATCGAGGGACTGACTTTCTTGCGCTGTCCCTCAACCCTCCCAAACATGATGTCCCTCTCCAAGGATTGGCCCCCTCCTTGCAACATGCCCCAAATATGTCAGATGAAGCTTCAGAGTTCTTGCCTCCAAGGAGAAACCCAGTTTCACCTTCTCAATAATGAACTTATTAGTTCTCCTAGCAGTCCATGGTATGTTCAACATTCTTCTACAGCACCACAGCTCATCAATTCTCCTTCTATCAGCCCTCTTCACTTTCCAGCTCTCTGATGCATAGCACAGAATTGCAAAGACTATGGCCTGGATCAGGCACCTTAGTGTCCAGCCTGGCATTGTTGCTCTTCAGTACTCTGGAGAGGTCCCTGACAGCTGACTCAAAGGTTGAGTTTGTTGAAGGTAGAGAAGCAATAATGTATTTTATAAAAATACCATAAAAACTATTTTCTTTGTGAATTATGATGTTGTTGTGTGTCATCAAGTTGGAACCAACGCATAGCTGACATTCTGGTGGGTTTTTAGAGTCTGTTAATTGCACAGGAGGAAAGTGTCCACCTTTCTCTCATAGAACAGCTAGCTGGTGGATTCAAACTGCATGCCTTCAGGATTGCAGTGCAGCTTCTTACCACTAGGACATCCCTAAGGGCAGGGTAATATATGAACGAATGAATGAATGCCAAAATCATTGTCAAGTCAGAACCAACTCATAGATGACCTTCCTGTGAGTTTTTGGGAAGCTATAAAGAGCAGGGAGAGGAGATTGCCCAGCTCTGTCCTACAGATTGGCTGATGGATCTACGCTGGCAGAAAGACACCCCTTTGGGTTAGGAGTGCAGCCCCCTGCACACTGGAACTCTGGGATACACTGTCCAAGAGAAAGAAATGAACTCTTAACTGTCTCCTGGTTTGTTCATGAGTAGATTTGAAGAGCTGGTTGTGATGGAGAGGTTGCTAGAGGCTACCCATAGATGCCTTTGAATCGTGGTGCTGGCTGACGGTATTGAATGGACTGAGAAAATAACAAATAAATATATCCTGGAGGAAATGCTGCCAGAATGTTCCTTAGAGGTAATAGAGACACTTTGTCTCATTTCCTCTGGGCAGATTTTCAGGATAAACCGGTCCTTTGAGAGAGACATTAATCTGGGAAAGTAGAGAGGATCAGTGAGAGAGAGCAAGATCCTCGATGAGGTGGGCTGTACAGTGACTGCCACAGTGGCCGCCACAGTCACCGCCACAGTGGCCGCCACCGTCACCGCCACAGTCACCGCCACACTGACAGCCACATGGGCTTGAGCATGACAGAGATTGTGAGAATGGCACAGGGTAGGGCAGGGTTCAGATCTGTTGTTCACAGGGGCTAAAGACTCTAGTCAACTTGACACCCACCAACAACGTATTATCTTATATTTCTGAATATGCACATCTTCTAAAAACAACCAGAACAACCATCCCAATGTGGCCACGGAGAGGGGCTTAGCATAGCTTTACCATGTCTTTCAGATGGAAAGATCTATGTCTAAGTGATAGAGGTTAAAATGCCAGCTTCCCCTTAAGAAGTCCCGCCACGTGCATTCTAATTTCTGCTCGTCTTCTGGGATTGGGTCCGCTGTCATTGTGTTATACTCGTAGATTTGTGATTCTTAATGTTTTTCCATTATATATTTTACATTGATTAAACATCTGTGTGGAGAACAGCAGTCCTGACTTACCCATTCTAGCAGTCCTGACTTACCCATGTGGATTTTGCTTTTCTGATAAGATCAAGAAGTGCTGTGGTGAATATCATTTGTGCTGATTTGATTCAAGGGAATAGAGCCACTGGGAACAGAAGCGTTCTCATCTATTTATGTAGGAATTCCTCCCACACGTGGCTTTTGAAATGCAGTTTTAGTTTTTTTTGCCTTTTACCGTGGTGTGTGTGTGTGTGTGTGTGTGTGTGTGTGTGTACCTAAGCATTTCACTTGAAATAACCAAAAAAGTATTTCATTGCAATTTTGCTTAAGGTGTTTGTAAGGAAGAATATGATTGTATTGTTATTGACTTAGATATTTAAATGTGTTTTTTTTTCTTTGATAGCATACCTCAATAATTGGTAATTGTCTATGTGCAATATATCCTGATTTTAAAATGAAAAATAACAGAGTATGTGTTTAATTTTTCTTTTAAGAGAGCCATTTGTTTCCCTAAATTGTTAAGCCTTTTATTTGACCTTGACATTGATATTTATTAGCTTGAAGGCAATGTTCAGCTCTCTGGGACTTACGGAAATTTGGCCTTTTTCATCTGTACCATAGGAATAACAGAAAATAGTCATAATTTTTTGTCTTGTCTTCAGCAAAGAATGTGACATCTGTTCATCTGGATCGGCAGAGGGAGAAGGAGAATCAGAGGCAGCAGGAGAATATGGAATGTGTGGCTAATTGCTTTCGTAACAACTGCCTCCTTTGCCATGAGACCAGGAAAAAACCCAACACACACAAAAACCCAAAACCCAACAAACCCACAGATGGTCCCTGGCTGCCATTACCCACCATTTTGATCAAATGATTCTATAGAACAATCTTTGATCAAAAGGGGAAAATGCAGAACACAATTTCATATTCTGATGGACTCCAGACTTTCTGGAGTCAAGGGGTATCTATGAGTTGCTGATATGATTGCCCTGAGATAATATTTAAAATTTAAACCAAAAATATACCCTGAATATCTTTTTTTTTTACAAAAACAACCAAAAATAACAAGCAAAAACACCAAAAAATTTACCGAAATTAGAAAAGTTTAATCTGAGAGAGTGCTGGTGGCCTGGTGGCAGGAAGCTGCACTGCAATCCCAGAGGCACACAGTTCAAATCCACCAGATTCTCTGCTGGAGAAGGAAGGACAATCTCCTTCTGTATTAGTCAGATCCGATTTGACGGTATGCATTCAAAAATAATAAAATAAAATTTTTTTAAAAAAGAAAAGTTGAATCAGGAGTGTTGAAATCTTTTAAGAAGTAACTCTGTGGGATCTAGTTAATAGCAGCAACTACAAAAACCATCCAGGGCATGATTTTGTGTTAACAGCTCTGGAAAGGAGGGCTTGCAACATGAAGGATGGAAGCGGTGTCACTCAACTATGTGTGCAGAAAAGGCTGAATTGGTGTATGTTGTGCTGTGCATACTTTCAACATCAAAGAAATAAATTTTAAAGATAATATGGTCTTATTATAACTTACTATTTCTGAACCTCCTTATTAAAAAGTTACGTTTTGAAAAGGATTTCATATTTACTTTAAAATGTGTGCAAGTTTTAGAGGAAAGATATTTCTCCTCCGTATGTTGCCAATCCAGAGACAGTGAATCCACCAGCTGCCCCACAAAAGAAAGATCAGCGTTCTCCTCTATGCGGTTTACAGTCCCTGAGAACTCGCGGGAGGGAGGATCAGCCATGCGCAGGCTTCGATTTGACAGAACCTAAAACCAGCAGCAGTTCTTGACCCAGGGCGCTCGGGTCGTGTAGTCCCTGGGGAGCTGCTCTGCTCTCCCAAAGGCAGCCCCTCTCTGATGATTCAAATCCACCAGCAGCAGCTTAGGAGAAAGATGAACCGTCTCTGCTCACATAGCTTACACCTGTGGACACACGCTGGAAGGTCGACTAGGAGTCGGTTCCAACTTAGTTGTAAATGATGAGAGTTACTTTCCCATTAGTTGCTAGGTTTTGTCTTAACGGATTTCCACAGTGTGCATTCTTTGTTGTTTAGGACTTTTTCCGAAACTTACCTCACTGGATCCAACAACACACCACCATGAATGACGCTGGCAATTTTCTAATTGAAACATGTGATGAAATAGTGTCTCAGGATCTGAAACAGCAACTACTTTTGCTAAATGGACGATGGAGGGAGTTATTCATGGAAGTCAAGCAAGTATGTTTTTCAGATCAATATACACCCAAAATGTGTATGTATAAAGAACTGTTGTGATAAGCACTCTATTTAGATGCTATATTGTTTTTATAGAATGGGATTATTAGTGAAGAATATAAATATGTTTTGAATGCATATGTTCTATATTTGGTGATTCTTTTTTTTAGATAAAATTTTTATTTTATACTGGTTTCCTTACAAAGTCTATATACATTGTTTTTCACACCAGATCTTTCCTTTACTCATCCTTCCCTCCACTCCTCAAATTATATGACCCTATGTTTAAGCTTCCCCCATCCTCACCCCTCTGCTCCCCCCTCCCCGTGTTGGATCCTCATACACGTTCTACAGTAATGGTCTTATACAGCATTTATCCTTATGGGACTGAGTTAGATCATTTAGCATAATGCTCTCCAGTCCCTTCCAAGTTAGATAGTACTGTTCAAAATCATTGCTCCTGTGTGCTGTGTAACTATACCACAATTTCTCAACTTTACTGAAACTATAACTAGATTAAAGGTTATATTGGCACATGGAATTGACTTATATGGAATGATTTATACTTTAGGACTGAATTCTTAGTTTTCACACTAGCCTTTTTTTGTCTCACAGAAATCGAACCAAATTAAAAATAAATTTTAAATAGGCCTCAGAAGTTAGCATCTCTTTGGCCATGTAACAATCTAGAAAGTTCTTAGAAGGGAATATTATGAGCCTCTTAAGCTTCTGCTTAATGCTTTTCCACAATAAGGCCCCTGCCGTTACCTTAACAGTATGCACGAGCTGATGAGCTGGACAGAATGAAGAAGGAGTATTCAGACTGTGTTAAGACCTTGTCTGCATTTGTAGCAGAAGCCCAAAGGAAACTTTCGGAACCCTTGGAAGTCTCTTTTATCAATGTCAAGTTGTTAATTCAGGATTTGGAGGTAAGAGGGATTCTGGATCGTGAAAGATACACTCTCTCATGAAGGAAATAAACCAGAAGGGCTCTCAGAAGGCTGCAAAGTGTCTCTTGTTTCAATTCCCACATATCCTGATTGACATTGCTTGTGAAAAAAAAAAATTATGTTATGAGCAGATCCAGTAACTTCAAAATAGTGGTGGGTTTGTTTTTTGTTTTGGTTTTTTTTATTTTTGAGGCTCTTTAAAATCCAATTATAATGTCCAGGTATTATAGTTGTGCTGTAGATCCAAAGACCACAACTCTCTGGAGGTTCCAGTCTACCAGCAGCTCCACGGGAGACAGACAGACCAGCGCTATACCACTTAGAAGAATATTTGACCAAAACCAAACCAGGTCTGAGGGCCGCAGATTAAAGTCATCCACCTTTGGCTGGTAGCATAACTTTCTATCTACTAGACCAACAGTGTGAGGGAATATTTAATTACATGGAAAGATTTATAAAAATAATCCACATTAGACATTTACAAATTGGATATACATATAAGTAGGGATAAAGGTTATTAAGGACATGGTGGGATGTTTGTTCTGATTATCATTGTTTTGGTAGATTATAGGAAAACTTCATTTTTGTGATACTGACAACTTGACTTCAAAATTTTTTATAATAGCAGTGCATTTCTTTCATGAAGAAAACTATTTGCTTCACATTTGAAGTCACAGGCAGATTCACATGCATTTATTTATTTTATTTTGTGTGTACCATTGAATTGACTCCAACTGGCACAGGAGGAGATTGCCCCTCCTGCTCCAGAGAAGCATCTGGTGGATTCGAACCATGCACCTTTAGGATTGCGGTGCAGCTTCTTGCCACTATGCCACCAGAGCTCCCTCAGATTCACTTGCATTTATATGGTATAATTTTTTTTTTTGCAAACTTCTTAGGCATGTATTTTTCAAAGATTGAGGATTACTACTACAATGAATTTCTAGATAAATTTACAGACTAAAAGAAAAGCTTATATTTATTTATACATTACTAATGAAGGAAAGGGATTACTCAGCTCCCAATCTTAGGATTGGCGGTTCCACTATACCAAGTAAAGTCTGATGATCTGCATTTGAAAGGTCATAGCCCAACCAACCTCTGCACAAGTTCTACTCTTTACACAGGGAACCAGTAGGTGTCAGAATCCACTCAGTGGCACTTGGCATCTGCTAAGAAAGGAAGCATTAGCTAGGAACATTCAAAGCCTGCTACAGGCATGGATTTTGATAAGGTCCATCTTGTTTTTCACTCTTTGCTATCTTGAAATTGAAATGCAATGCTCCAAGTGTTAATGCAATGTTTTGGTGGTTCCTGCAGGATATTGAACAGAGGTTACCAGTGATGGATGCCCAGTACAAGATGATTACAAAGACCGCCCACCTCATTGCAAAAGAAAGCCCCCAGGAAGAAGCCAATGAGATGTTTGCAACCATGTCTGGGCTCAAGGAGCAGCTAGTCAAGGTTAGGTTATGCCGAATCACTACCCACTGAGATATCAACCAACATTCCCTTCACTGGCTTGTCTCCTCTGCCACCCATGGGCAACAGCGGCTGCTCTGCTTGCCAACATATCACGCTTTGCCTTATTCTATTTCTTGGAATAGAAACATTGAAATCTATTTTAGAAAGAAAAGTAGGAAATTGATGCCATTTAATATGTAGAGGTTTTATTGTTGTTATGTGCCATTGTGTGCAACTCATAGTGACCCAATGTACAAGAGCTCTGAATGCTGCTCTATTGTCAAACCAACCGTAGTGTCTCTGACGCACTTACTCACCATTACCCCAGTCATTGAGTCAATCCATCTCTTCCAGGGTCTTCCTCTCCTGTGCTGTCCCTTCACCCTTCCAAGCATTATGTCCCTCTCCAAGGACTGGTCCCTCCTTGCATCATGCCAAAAATATGTCAGATGAAGCCTCGGAATTCTTACCTCCAAGAAGCAACTAGGTTTCACCCTCTCCAGGATAAACCTATTTGTTTTTTAGGAGTTCATGGTATATTCAATATTCTTCTCCATCATCACAACTCAAAGGCATTAATTCTTCTATCATCCCTAGTCATTGTCCAGCTCTCTGATGCAAAAAAAGTAATTGCAAAGACCATGGCCTGGATCAGGTATACTTTGTAAGAACCTATAGATTAATAGATAAGCTTTCTCTAGAGGATATAATAGACAAGAAATTAGTGCTGTAACATATACACACACATATGTGTAGAAATAGAAAAAGAGAAGATATATTTAAAGAGAATGAATTCCCAATTCTTTCTTGTTGAGTAGACCTATAATACTTCCATCACTCCACAATCAACACTCTTTAACACCAGCAGTCAGGAAATCAAAAGACAAATTGCATCGGGGAAATCTGCTGTCAGGAACCTCTCCAGAGTGCTGAAAGGCAATGTCAGTCTAGAGACTAAGGTATGCCTAATCCAGGCTGTGGTCTTCAAAATTACTTGCTATGCATCAGAGATCTGGACAATGACTAAGAATGACGAAAGACAAATCAATGCCTTCAAATTGTGTTGCTGGAGAAGAGTCTTGAACATACCATGGACTGCCAAGAAAACAAATAGGTCTGTCTTGGAGACGGTGAAACCAAGTTTCTCCTTGGAGGCTAGGATTTTGAAGCTCAGTCTCACATACTTTGGGCCTGTGGCCAGGAGAGACCAGTCCTTGGAGAAGGGCATCATGCTCAGAATGGTGAAGCCAGGACAACACAGGAGAGGAAGACCTGGATGAGATGAATTGGCACAGTGACTAGGACAATGGGGATGGGTATATCGGAGTCATTGAGAGGGCTCAGGATAGGGCATATTGCAGAGCTGTTGTACATAGGGTCACTATGGGTCACAGGCAATTCGATGGCACCTCATAACAACAACAATCTTGTTTACTTACTGGAGTGGAAAGTCTGCCTTTAATATCTCAAAGTTCTTACCTTAGACTTGTTGGCTGGCTTGCTTCTTGTTGTAGACAACTTGTTACATGTTGTTGACTTAGGATATTTTCTTTTATCACTGACACTTTGGTACTGAAGCGTAAATGGACATCAAACAGCCAAACCTTTTCCTCTTCTATTGAGAGGCTGTCTTAGAGTGTTTTAAAGTTCTGTGAAGAATGTTTATCTAAGGTTGAACTTTAGGAAGATAGTGTTATTTGTGATATCAGCTTTGCTTGGGTAATCCAATGGTGAAAAGAAAAGAGAAAGGAGTAATTCTATAAAGAAAGGAGACTGTTATGAAAAATTCTACCTTCTTGAGTTAGTTTATCTGTGACATGAAGCCTTGTCATGAGCAAACTTTGATGGATGGAGAGTAGGAAACGTGAATTTAGTGGAAGGTAAGAAAGTACAAAGCCTGCCTTGGGGAGGACCTCTGACCAGTTCATTCTAGTTTGACCTCCTCGGAATTTGCATTTCAATTGCCAATAAACTGGATCAGGATCTACATTTTAACTGGAACCTCAGGAGATTCTGATCATGTAAGAATCTTACTTAAAACTTACTGGGGATCTTGGGAAATGTAGATAACAGTAATTCATTGTACAGAACTGACTCATAGCTGACCCTCAAGTGGGTTTTCAGAAGTTATAAATTGCATGAGAGGAGATTTCCCATCTTTCTCCCACAGAGCAGCTCGTCAGTTTGAACTGCTTGCCTTTGGATTGACAAGGCAGCTCCTTAACCACTAGGCAATCGGGTCTGGGGTAGAAATGTAGATATCTGGGGTGGAAATGGCAATTCTAAGCAATAGGTGGACCTGGAATGAACCCATTCTAAACCCTAGTGTGGACAAAGTAAGTCATTAAAGTTCGTAAAAGGAGAATTCTTAAATATAAATATTGGACTGGTCAGACTATCAGTCAAGAATTCATTTCAAGTGCTAAAGAGCAAAGATGGCAATGTAAAGATTAAGGTGTGCCTGACCCAAACCATTGCATTTTCAGTTGTTTAATATGCATGTGAACATTTGACAATGAAGAGGAATTCAAAGCCCTTGAACTGTGGTGTTGGTGGAGACTCCTCTAATATAACACAGATGGTTACAACAGGGGAAAAAGTCATCCTGGAGTAAGCGTGACAAGAATGCTCCTTAGATGCAAAGATCGTGCTACTTACTCTCCCCTACTGTGTGTATGTTGCCATCTAAGTTTCATTCCTGGAAAAGGACATTATGCTTTTAAAGGTGGAAGGTCAGTGGGTGAGAGGAGTACCCTCAAGGTTATGAACTGATGCGTGACTAGACCAAAGGGTGTATGTACATTTGAGACTGTGAACATGGTGTAGGATCAGACAAAATTTTGGTCTGTTGTGTTGTACATAAGGTCAATACGAACCAGGGTCGACTAGATGACACCTAAAACCAACAACAATCTTAGTTCTGATTTCAAGGCCATAGTAAAGATGAACTACAGTTCATGGGTGGGATTCGATGCCTCCATGCACAGGAACCATGTTGGAAAGTGCTATCTGCATGGAGTTTTAGGGGGGAAAATAGTTTTTTTATTTGTCTCAGTGGTACACAGTCATATTTAAGAAAAAAAAATAAAAACCAGGAAAACTTAGCAAATATTTTTAAAGAAATGTCTTAAGGCTTCCAAAGCTCAAAATTACCAGTGACTTCAAGAAAAAGTTCCCCAGGATGGAGAACAAGGGCCCTAAGCGTGCCGCACTCACCGTTATTAATGGAGTGCCTGTCTTGTCTTTGTGTTTTTAAAGGTCAAGGAATGTAGCTCCCCGCTTCTCTATGAGTCGCAGCAGCTGCTGATTCCGTTAAAGGAGTTGGAAACACAGATGACAAGCTTCTATGACTCACATGGGAAAATCGGTGACATGATGGCCGTTCTCCAGCAAGAGACACAGTCCAGCGCCCTCTTTAAGCAGAAACATCAGGTAAGAAGCGTTCCTCTCTGGATGCGTGATTGTGGGAAAGCACTGGGAAAACGGCGTGAAGGGACTGTGCTGTGCTGTGCTCACGGTGAGAGAAATTCAGACTGAACAAGACACCTTTGTCGAGTGACACTGACAACCCAGAGAGATGTTCTCCTCTAAACAGTTGTCCCCAACAAAGACGGCTGTTTAACTCCACAGAGTGCACACCACTGCTTTTGAGTTGTGAACAGTCAGTGATAGAGGTAGAGGTGGACAGTGCTAGATGAAGTCCCCAAAGCCAGGCTCTGATCATCGGAGTTAACAATTAGTGAGTAGAGCAAATTCAGGAATGCTGGTTTGTCCTAAAACACCTGGGTGTCCCTTCTGTGAACTGAGAGGCACTGTGCACCAGACAGAAAGGTCTTCTCTGTGCCAGCAGATGCTGTCCACTCTCGACTCCAAGTCTGGAGGCCAGGAAGTTCACCCATCTCTGCAGATAGAGAGTAGTCACACCCACTATTTGATATTGAAACAGAAGGGTCTCTACCCTCCTCTCAAGGCCGTCTGTTATCAGCTCTGCTATACAGGATTTTCGTTTGTGTGTCCGCCTTTCCACTAGATCATGTTTTGCTAGCATAGCCCATACGAAGAGGATGCTCATGCAAATAAATTCTCATTTATATTAAAAATAGCTCTCTCTATTCCTTTCAGGAGGCATAATACTATGAAAGCATAAAGGGTAAATAAAGTAGGACTACAGTGGTCCTTAGTGAGAGAAATTATATATATAAGTTTGGTCTATATATTAACCTTGTTTTGGAAAAGCCTTT